TTCCTTTTTCTTTCATTTCATTTCTTTCTTTCTATTTTTTTTATCGATACAAATTACACCTGTCACTTTCCCAATGACCCACTGCAATAACTCAGCTACCACGTCATTCACATTTTTTCTTCTAACTTGTTTTGTCCATAATTTCTTCGTTTGAACTCTGATTTGGGTAATTTGAAATTCGTTGGAATCGTCGTATTGAGCTTTACGTTGTAGTCACTTCAAACACTAAAATTATTTGTTAAACAAAATATCATCAATAAATCATATAATATGATTGAAACTCATAATAAATTTATGTTTTATAACAATAATTCTAACACACAAAAAATAATTAATACTAAATATGTTTGTTATCATCAAAACATTAATTAATTAATTAATTATCTGTCGATGATTGAGAGAGTAATTTATGTCCCATTGCCAGCTTATAACCGCTATTAGCTGAGTAAAAGTCGTTCTTATTATAATGTCAAACCCATTTATCAGTAGCACCATCCATGTCTGCTAATAGGAATTCTTTTAATGATCTCCACATCCGCGTCAACTATAACCTCCCTCAATTTCGGGACATCCCAAGAAAACCAAGGAGTTATAAAATCATTTACACCAGCTTCCAACAAAGAATAATCAGAATGATAAATACTTTTAATAACCCTGGTAACCCGCAAATGTAGGTTCGGAATGAAACGCCACATTGGTTTAGCTAGGAGAGCTTTGTTAAAGAGTTCCAAGCCTCGAAAATTAAAGCCCCTAAACTCTTTCAGCCAGCACATTGTTTCCAAACTTAGCCAATGGATGCGATTCTTCATTTCCATCGTCCCCCACCAAAACCTTGCCATTGCCCAGGATAAAATTAGCACAGAACGAGTGTGGGAGTCTGAAACAGATCATAACATAGTAGGGGTGCACATCGGTCGGTCACGTCGGTTTTTAGGCCAAAATCGACGCCAGTTGACACTTCGTCTGTTTTAAGAAATAGAAACTGACCGATCGAAATATGTGATTTTCCATCAACCGACGAAACAGGCGGATCGGTTGGTCGATTTTCGACAAACCAACATTTTTTTTTTGAAGAAGATGATGTAAAAGAGGCGGAAAAGATTAGAGTTTGAAGAAACAGAGCACAAACACGAACTCGAAGGCACGAACAATGAAAGAATCATAAAGAACACGAACACGATGGAGCTCGAAGCGACTATGAAAAACCAAGAGAACTGCCAAAAGAGAGAGAAAATAGGAGGGGAAGAGGATGAAATTTTATGGGAAAATGGGAGAAGCACCTCCAGAAAGGGGAGAGGTGCGAGAATAGGATTAAAAAATACTTTAAAAGAAAAAAAGAATTTTGAGTGGTTTTGAGAAAACCACAGGCACCTCTGGTTTTCTCAAAATCGCCTCAATTAATGAGGGGATGAATAGTTACGCCAATCAATATTCTATAGTTTTTCTTTTAAATTATCAAAATTCGGTCGGTTTTCCCTATTTTAAACGTCACGAAATGTTTGAAAACTACATCTATTTTGAAAGGCAAGGAAAAGATAGCTTGCAAGATTTTTTTGGCTTTTTATGATGTTTTTAAACATGAAAGAGTGGGGCGTGTTTTGTGGGAAGAAAATATTAGGACTTTGCAGTAATTTGGAACGTTTTGTAAAATGTCATGAAATTGCGAGTCATGTTTTTTTCAAGAAAATTCTCTCTATTTTTACTCATGTTTTTTTTTTTGGTCAATTTATAATATTTTTCAAATTCATTCTATTTAAAAAGTTATGTAAAATGGCCACCTCATATTTTTAGTGAAACAACATAGATCTGCCAATCGGGAATCTTGGCCTGGCCAAACAAATTTTAATTTTGCTATGGAAATATGTTGAGCACCAAAATTCTAACAATTCTACAGCTATAAATAAGAATTATACACCCAAAATCTTCAATAATATCAATACAACAATAATAAAATATACATTTGAATAAGTATTCAGTTAGTAAGCACCCTTTGTACCATAGCTCATTTAACTACCCTACAAAATTTCCAACCTTAGGATGAGGGAAAACATCATCAGATGAATAATAAGACCTAAAACACTAAGCTCCCATCTAATCTATTACAACAATTGAAGACAACAGCACTGTAATTCCTTGCCATTAAAGCTTTAGATCATATGAGCTTTGGAGCCTTGAGTAGGTAGATGCTCCTCATTAAGCCCTTGCCAGTTTCACCAACAGCTTTTAGCACCTCAGCCGGTTCTTTTTCTGCCTCGACAGCTTCATCACGTCCACGCTTCTGCAAGAGAAAAGGATTTGGTTTGGTTGGGGTCAGTGATAGAATTTGCTCGCTTCGAATGACAAGGAACTATACTATATATACCTTCGAATTATGTTGCCCCCATGTTAGACCAATTGCGTCACCTCCCAAAGAGTCATACCATATGTTGAAAGTGCTGGAGAATTCTTTCTGCATTTTCATAAAGACGGGTAAGCAATACAACCAACGATAGGAACACAACATCAAAGAATACCGAGTCACTTGCCTGCAAATCTGCAATGTAACACCTTAATGGATCAAAATTTACCAAAAGCTTATTCTTTATGTCTTCAGAATTTGGTTTCAAGTTTCTAGGCAACAAGAATGGAGAGAATATCTTGCTAGGATCCCCTTTTGCGACATGAATTCCTGCAAAAATATGCATATGATCGACATTCAGAAATCAAAAACTTTGGCAATCAACAAAAGGGGAACACTACAATAAATGCAAGAAAGACTATCCTTGGACAATTCCGGAAGATTACCTTGGTTCAGTTCAGACGGGAAGAGAAGACGTTGTGGGTAAGGTAATTTGTCTCGGTGGAGAAGAATAACGGCATCGTAGTTGGTCAATGGAGTTCGGAAAATGCACTGGAAATCCGAATTACAATGTTACGTTTCTCGGTAACAGTCGCATCAATTTGAAGGAAAACAATCAAATAATGGTTAAAGCATACTCACCTCCCACTGGTAAGAATCGACCTGTTGCTGCACTATTAGTCTTGTCAACAAATCTGCGCTGCTTCTAGCATAAGCAACCAGCCTTTTTAGCTCCTTTCAACAACAATAAAGCATAACGTCAGTAACAGAAGAATTACAAATCTCGAAAAATGTTGCTACACTAACTAAATGCAGATTACAAAGCTCTATATTTTCATGAGATGCCAAATGTATAGTTAAGGTCTCGGTTGACAGTAACTACCTTTTTTTTTCCGTCTAAATAAACAATTTCATTGATGTATGAAATTACAAAAGCCTCAAAAGAGGATTACATGAAGCACTTCCAATTAGTAAGACGGGAAGTGTAGCTATAGTGATGAAATATGGGGGAAGATTTACACCAAGTAATGACAGTAAAGACTATAGCATCAAAAAAATTATCAAAAGGGAGAGTTTTGTCGTTAAAGATGCGACGGTAACTACTTTTTCAGTTTTTAGAAACTAAGGAGCTATTTGGGTATAGTTTCTACAAATTATTTATTAATTGATCTTCGTTGATGGTAAATGAAATTATACAAAAGGATTAACCCTATTCAATGAAGTTACAAAAAATTCTCCAATTTGAAATAAGATAATTCTAGCTAATAAACGGGAGACATTTTACACTATGATAGTGCCAAAAAAAACATCGCAGGACTTGTACTTTGCGGATTTAAAAAAAAAAAATTACATACCAGTGGTTTTGGAAAGAACGTGGTCCAAGCCTCAGATGCCTTGTCATAAGCTGTTGCTAAGAACATGGCAGGACTTGCAGTTTGTGGATTTTCTTGAAAGTCTTTTCGAGTCAGGTTAAATTTATCCTATAAAAATCCAATGAGAATAAATAGCTATTTAGAGATGCCCATAATTATCAAAGGAACTGTTTGCATATGTTAGAACTTACAGCTATTTCTTTCTCCTCGTTTGCACCCAAATCATTGTTTATGTCAATAACCAGTGGAGAAAAAGTCCAATCATACTCTGACAGTAATCTTAGGAACCTATAAAGAGGTCACCATGGAGAAACAGATGATTTGAGCTGCGATGTGAACAAACTAAGCAGTATAGGATGTCAAATGAAGAAGATGGAGAATTTAATGCTAAAACTTCAATTCTCGTGGTAAAGCAGCTATGGCAATCCTCATAAAGTATGATCTGATACTTTGTGAACGTGAGATTATATCAGAGTAAATATGAGCAACATGCTTCCGGATGAGATATGACTAAAGTAAATAAACACACTTTCAGGAACTTGCAGAAGGGTATTTCGATGGGCCTTCCTTGCATTTCAAAATTTTAATATTTTCCATTAGGGATGGATCCAAAGCGCGTTCTTCAAAGAACCAATGATTGGGTGACGTCCCGTTTATTTACTTTTCTCCCATCTCAATAATATCTCTTCCAAGATAGTTGAGTAAAATTGTTTGTCTCTCTTTGCTTGAAGGTTTTACTTCTTGTAACTTTCACTTCAAGGGGCCCAGTCTAATAGGGAGGCCTCTCAATATCTCCTCGCTACTATCTCTTCTACAAGGGTTTCAATTTCAGTGGGGTACAAGGATTGTCGTGCTTAGGCCCTCAAGTATTTGGAAGAATAATCTTCTAAATCTTCCCTCTCATTTGATTCTCTTTCTTTTCATCAAGCTTCCTTCTGCTTTCACACTTTTGAAGGTTAAAATTTTCAAAAAGATCAATTTATTTTCTTTTGCATGGTTGGTTGCTCACGTGAGGGTTGACACCATTGATTCATCCAAGACGTCCTCGTCTATGGTTTGAGGTCTTAGCAGAGTGCTCTTTGTAAGCGTCTGTAAGAGGATTTAAACCATATGTTATAGAGATGTCAGCATCCCACAGTTGTCTAGAATTGATCCTTGAATACCTTCGTTGTATGGTTGACCCAAAGTAGGAACTATCACTCTAATGCTAGAGGTGGTGCTCTTACATTCTCATTAATGGGATAAAGGGCTGTTTTGCAAGCCACTTTTTTTTGCTATTGAGTTAAGTATATGGCTAGAGAGAGAAGAGAACTTTCAAGGGTGTAAGGAAGAAGAGTGTGAGTTGGCTCATTCCAATGCCTCCCTTTTGGCCTCTACGTCCAAGCTTTCTTGCCTTTGTCGTTTACTTAGACTTATATCAACCGGATCAACTTTTTGTAAATGTTATTTTGTTTTATTTTTCACAGTCACTTTTGTTTTTTAATCTAACTCATCAGTTTCACTTTCCTTCTTCTATGGTAATTACTGAAAAATAAAAGGGTCCCTACAAAAGTGGTGATGTGCAAAGAAATATTAGATAAATATACACCTTAGAAAACCTGTGATTCGAGAAAGTGGTGCATGGAAGGGTAGAGGCTTCAGGAAAATTGATGCTACCAACAGTTCGACTGCTTCCTCTACCAAGCAAGCTGAAAAGAAATGTGAGGCTATCCATCTTTTTGCCAACCTTAAAATGCCAACAACAAAGTTAGGAGGAGTGTATTGTAGAAATCCCTAAGATACATAGCAACCAGTACATACCTAACAACCGGTCCATATATTGAGTGACGAGCCTGTAATCCACTAATCATGCTAGAATGCTGACTTTGAACAAAAAGTTTCTTATCTGTTGAGGAGATCCAATTTGATAAATCACTTCCAACTGCAAATTTAGTTGACTTGTAATTATTAAAATGGTTCGAAACCCACACCACACCACCACCAGACCCATGATTGCATAAACCTATGTCAGAGAGATGACACCTTACATTCCTTATTCAACAAACTCAGGCCTCTTTCGTGCCAAATTTTTAGATGAAAAGCATAACCAGAGACAAGTACGTTAACAGCATCTTCAGAAGCAATACACCTCATCCCCCAGACGTTCTGCAGACTGCCATATTGAGACCATCAGATAGACATCCAAAAGAGACTGGTTAATATTGTCATTACAAAATCAAATTCAGCTCACCTCTCTCCAATTTTAAGAAGGAAGGCCGTTTTGGTTTTTTCAATTGCAACCTCATCAGTTGGCCAGTTCCCAGAGCCTTCCAGCTGAAAATAAGAAAAATAATTGGGTCACAGGGAATTTCAAAATTCAAATAAATAGACATTAGATCACATCATACCTGAATCATAACGTCTAGTGGCCGGATGCAGGATGAGGCAACCTTCCGTTGTATTCGTGGATCACTTGCCTTCTCTTCTGCTAGTGGGTGAGGTTCAGAAGGATAGACAGATGTATACCTGAAAGCTGTAAATATGGATAAGCATACAGTCTGTTATGCCTATTGCTAACCCAAGTCTAGGAAAAACTTTACTCCTGTACTAAGCCATTAGTGGGATTCACAAGTAATCCCACTTATTATGATGTGAAATTCCGCACCCGTTTGATAACGTTCATGTTTCTTGTTTCTGTTTCTTTATTTTTAATGAAGAAAAATGTATTGCATGGTTCCAACATCCAAGAATTCAAGTATGATAAACAATTTTTTTATTTATGTTTTGAAACAAATTGAAAATGGAAACAAGAAAGGAGAAACTTGTTTTGATTGTTCCAAAATTTCGATACAATTGTGAGCATGTTCCCAAAAAAGTAAAAACAAGAAACAAAGTTGGTTGTAAAATGCTTAGATTTCTTAAGAAAGATGGAAACAAGAAACAAGTAACAAGAACGTTACAAACGGGTCCTTCATGAACAAGATAAATGTGAATGAAAGATGTGAAGAAGAGATATAGATGCCTAAATCATTGACATAAAAGAGGAAGATGCCCAATTTCCTGCGATCTAAATCTGGATAAAGCACTTATAATTAACGGGAACAATTAATTAATAGGCTTCAATGATTAGGAGTTGCTCTACTAGCCATAGAAAACAGCAGAAGAAAATAATCAGAAAATCACAAACAGAATAACACAACACAAAGGGAAGTATGTCCTCTTAAGTTTAATACCTGGGTCTAAAGGCTGTACAGCAGACACCTTCAAAGGAATGTCTTCAATTGAACGCAAGCGCTTTGATAAAACTTCAAAAGCCGCGAGCAAATTTCCAGAAAATGTTATAGGATCTGAAATAATTAAGAAACCCTTTATTTAAGAATTTTATTTTCTTAGCATTTCTGTTCCATACAACAGAAGTTATAAAACATTCCTTTTATACATACTAAGATAAATAAGCTTAGTTTATGTAATAAAAAGGTAAATGGACAAGTCATATTCCACTTTAAATTTAGAATAGCATTTTAGTTTGATTTAATACCAACTGTTAGGGGCTTGAAGCTGGAAGCATCATGTAAACACAGTTGCATGAAAAAGAAATTCATTTTAATAAATTCATTAAAATTGGATGGAAACCATCATACGTGATATGTGAAAGGAATTTAAGTAAAGGACGCATAAAGTAAGGAGAAAATTAAATACAAAAATAGCATTTTTGGGAATGAAGAAATCATTCTTGCTCATTTCAACCATGAGCTATAGATACAGGTCATAGAATACCTCCAGAACCATGGAGCAGGGAGAAATCAATCTGATCCACAGCATGCATAATATGGTCTTTTGATATTGGTGAAAGATGTCGAACAAGAACATATTCCGCAATTCTCTTTAAAACGAGATGCCTTGTCCATTGATCAGTTTCCCAAACTAAGAAATTCAGAAACAAGCATGTCAACATTCTGTGAGTGGTCTTAGATCAAGGCCACAATATTCGTATCGATTGACCAAGACAATCCACCAGAAGCACAAAATATTATATAACCTGTGCTTTCGGCAATTCTGCCATCTTTAAATCTCCTGAGCTCAGCCTTTTCACCCCAAAATCTACGAAATTTTAGGGCCTATCAAGAAATAAAAGCTTGATGAGTAAGTGTATTTGAAGAGGAAAAAAATAGTTCTAACTTGCACTATGTACCTCTTCTTTGTTTTCAGCATCAGGACCAATATCAACCACACGAAAAGCTTTTTCCACGGAGCTGATTGAAATTCCAACAAGCAATGGTTGCGTACCATATACTGATAAACCCTGACATCACAAGGCAAAATATAGTACTTAATTAAGAAATAATATATACCCAAAAACACTAGATTTTAATAACTGGCCCATACATTTTCAATATTACGTCCAGCTTCAGTGTTGCTCCAGGAAACACGAATGAATTTTGCTCTATCAGCCAGACCTTGACTTAAAAGTCCATGCACTTTCTGTTCATACAGTCTCCAACACTCATCATCCAAACAAAAGCCTGATGCGTATAACTTGTCTTGTCCCCTCAAATTCAATCTATAAAAATAAACATAGATAGCATGATGTTGCACAAAATGGAATCTTACTTTCAGTTATTGATTGAGACAAACTTAAATAGGAACAACGAGAATCCATAACCAAGTCCATCCATAATGTAACAGAAATACTCAAAAACATTAAGCAAATATAGAGGAGTTGAAACATACCTAATGCAATGGTCATATTTAACAGCAAAGTCAATTTTGGTCATAAAAATCTCCTCAAATCCACCATTTCTGCACTTCTCCAAACATGCAAGTGCCAGAGCAGCCTCATCTTGAAGCTACAAATTGGGAAAAGGAAAAAGGAAGGAGCTACTTATCAATATCCGCTGAGAGCATGGTATGCAAAAATGAATTACAAGTAAACAAAAAAATCAAACCTCCTCTGTTCGAAGGCAATGAATAGTAAATTCAAAGGAAATTATTCCAGAATGATGTCCAATTAGGGCTTTTTATAAACAATTGGTGTATGTTATGTAGAAATTAGAATGTAGAGGGAATATCAGGTGCGCCTCTTCTTTCAGCACTACATCAGTCTAACTTACGGGAAAACTCTTCTACTTTCAACTTAAGCTGGATTTTTCATAGAAGAATATGGAATAACTCCTTTCCAAAAACAGATTCAAAAAATTCAAAGTTACTCCAGTAAAAATTTAAATTCAGTAAAATCCATCTTATGGGAGATATGGCTAGAGAGAAACCAAAGAATATTTAGCAGGAAGAGCGATTGGGATGAGGTATTGGTGCTCTATAAATCTTTTTTGTAATTATACTACTGTTTGTAATTAACTCAAACTGGGGCTAATCTTTTGTAAGCTGCTAGGGGTTGGATTCTCTAAACTTCCTGTAATACTTTTCATCGTATCAATGAAATGGGATTGGTTATATTTCAAAATTATAAACGTTATTATAATTTGATGAGCACCGAAATTTGGCAATACAATACCTCAGCAAAACCTGATTGTGATATTCGAAATGCAATGTTAAAGTTGGCTGACGGATTGCATATAACCACAGGAAATAGATCTTTATATTGCTTCTTTTCCTGCAACCAAAGTCCATCCTAAATCGACTGAGTATATGGAGTTTTCAAGAAAAAAATAGAAATATATTGATTGCATGAGGAACCTCATCGATATCAGAACATCAGAAAGGACAGTAAATAATTATCTCATGGATCAGTGAGGAAAAAATGTGATTACTTCAAAGAATAGTCACTAAAATAGACCCAACATAAAAATTTTAAAAAAAATACTTAGATGATCATCTGGAAGACAAGTTCACGAAATAAATAACAAACTGTTCGGGCCCTCATTAGTAAGGGTATGCAACCCAAACTATCAAAATTTATTCTATCTTGACATTGAACCTTGTTCACACCTAAGAAGGATACATACCCGGCACATAAAGAAATACTCAAGCAAATAAATACATTTTAAAAGGAATTAAGAAACAATATTCAAACCTCCTTTGAAATAGTGCTCTGAGGTCCAAGCTTAAAATAGAGTCCACGATTCCATAAATTCGAAGTGGCTGCAAAAGGAGGAGAAATTTTTCAAATATTGAAATTTCTCTTTCTTAAACAGCAGAAAGATCACAACTTCCATATAACTCGAGTAAAACATCAATTGCAATATCAGTTTTCAGGCGATCGAACCACAATATGATCTAAAATTAGAATTTATCATAGCCTGTAAGCACGGAAGTCCCATCTCTAACTTATTACTTGTTACTAACAACTCTCGAGCATATAATATTTTACATAAAAATAAATCTTTAAAACTGGAAAAGGAATAATGATTAAAAAAAATTGTAATCCTATCTTCTGGATCATGTACATCATTGAATGCAATTTTGACTTGCAAGAGAGAAGATAGAGAGAAACATAAGAAAGACGTACCCATAAATTTTACTGCAACACGAAACATCTGGATCACAGTCATTGAATGAGTTATTATATTTTGGTTAACGAGGTATGATAATATTACAGCTATTAAGAATCCACTCAAGCAATCATGAACATATATTGGAGCCCTGTGCCGAGCCCAAACCTACGAGAATAAACCAAATGTTAAAATAACAAACATCGAAAACAATCAGGTCAACGTAAGTAAATTTCAGTATTATACCTTCAGTAGAATTAACGTCTCTACCAAATCTTTTGATTCAAGAAAAGGCGTCTTAACCATTTCTGCAGTATCCTCGAAGAACATATCTTCCAAAATGCTAGTGTTATACTTAGGTGTAGCTTGAAGTAAGCTCCCTTGAAACAAATAATAAAATCGAAAGGGAAAAACGTCGGTTGATATAGCAGCTTCATTAATAGATGATCAAAGTGCAGTGACCATAACATACTTAAAATGAAATATGAAGAGAGTACCTTGATTCAAGGCACGGATATTGTTTCGTTTGATATTCAACTTTGAAATGCTGAAAAAGGATCCTGCTATTGTTGGAATTATTCTGACAAAAAATCCAGGAGCTACCTTGAGTCCTTCCAAAGCTACAGATCAAAATTTTATTTCTCAAAGTTAACTCTTTCGTTGTAATTAATCTTATCAAAAATAAAATAAAATAAACTTTTCAGTGTAATTAAGTCCAATTATGCAATCCCTAACATTTATTTTCTCGGAAGAAGTGATTAATGTAAACTTCCCACATATCCAACCTGGATAGACAATTAAGATGGGTTTTCGAGCCTCATTCTGAAGTGTAGACCATTCAACCTTAGAAAGCACTAAAGATGAGTTCAAATATTTCTTGATTGTGCAAAGGTAAAGGAACCTTTTGGCATAGTACCGGTAATTCAGGTAGTCTTTCTCATGGAAACACTCCTGCCACAAAGAAAGAAGTTTAGCCTAAGAAATATCCAAGAACACTACCACATCATAATATATCAAAAAGTTTTCTCCTAACATACATCAAGTAGGTTAAATATTCAATTCCATATATTATATCTAAACATTAGTTTCTTTACGATAATCATAAGTCCTCAAACCTTTCTCAAGTCACTAGGTTAAAGCTAGGAATTTCAGATTCTAAAACATTTGATGGTTGGAAATAATAGTTGGGCAACATACCAGCCCCGAGGGGTTTTGAAACCATAAATAGATTTAGTACAAAGAATTACATTCAACTCAGCAATTATATCTTAACTTTAGGTTACTCCTTGAATAAAGTAATTCAAACTAATACTATACAACACCTAGAAATACTCAACTACATTAAACAACTAACGACTGAGGGGAGAATTAACTAACCTGGATTGTATTGATTGTATAATTTTCGAAATAGTATTTTTTGCTTTGTGTGTGGGTGTGAGGGTGGGCGGGTGGAGGGGGTTGCAAAGCTAAGTTGAGATTCTGTGTATGTTACTTACTACCGAACTCAATTCCCACATACCCATCATTTATCCAATTCAATCAACATTCGCTCCCCAGTTATACAAGAAAAAGAGTACAATAGCAGCATTGCAGTGGTAAAAACGACAGTACCCAGAAAGTAGTCATGTAATACCTTTGGCAAGCCAACTAAAAGATCTACATTTACATCAGGTTTTGCAATGCCTCGAAAGGCATAGCTACCACCAATTTTAATTGAATTTGGCTTCCTAAATTTGAATTCCACTTTGTCCGCGCCAATATCGCTGATAAAACCCGGAGCTTCATCCGCAGTAACCTGCAAAGTTTCCAGCTTAGAAATTTAAACGCCTAATTCAATCCAGAAGCTAAAAATGCAAGAAAAATAAATGTGACATTCCAGCTTGGTTAAACACGAGAATAAGTCTCTGGAGTTTCAGTAATTTAGGAATACCATACGAGATTAACTAATGGCACAAAGTGAAGCAGTTTATCAAAAGAAAAACACAGAGGCCATTCGTTAAATGTTTTGGTAGAGAAGGGAGGGAAAAGCAACCTTCGAGTCATCGGGGATGAGCTTAATTGCGTTTTTGATAGCAGAAACTGTGTCCTCGACGCGCTTAACCAAAGCAGGGGAGTAGTCAAGCTGAAACTCCTTTAGAAGTTCTCTGACCTTCAATTCCATGGGACCCATAAGAGTGTTGGAATCCATGTTCTGCGTCGGGTTCACTGAGAAACCAGTGGCTTTCTGTACAAATGCCCCTACTGGTGATTAGGGTTTTTCAGGGTTTAACCAAAGAAGGTGGCGGGAATGTTAACTACAACGGAGAGGGGAGACGACGAGCAGAACTTACAAAAATTATTTTTAATTATAAACTTTTTTTATTTTTAATTATGATTTAAATAAAAAAATCATTTATTCATCAAATAAATTTTTAATATTATTTTAAAACGTCAAAACGACATCGTTTTATTAAATTTAATATTGACGGTCTAAATGTGTCAACTATATCCATCAAATTTAACAGTTTTAGTCGACAGTTTATATGAATCTAGCTGACGATTATTGGATGTCGATTAAAATGTAGTATAATTGATAGATATTGACCGTCAATATTTCTCATTTTATTGACGCTTTTAAACCATCAACACAAAAAAAAACTATTGACAGTTATTAGATGTCTACAATGCGTCAATGTGTATTTTCATTAACGGCTACAATGCGTCAATATTTGTTGTTTCATTGACGGTTTTTAGCCGTCAATATAAAGGAAATATTGACATCTAAAGACCGTCAACTATGTGAAAAACATGGGAACTACGAAAATTTATGGAGAAGTACGTAATTGACGTCAACAAAAGTCTAAGAGCTGACACTCCATTGCGTCAACTTTAATATAGACGTAAGTTCACGTTTTATAACCATGAATATATGTATTTTTAAAAATAATTTATTTGAATGTCAAAATTGTTGGCTTTTTTGCCCTTAATCTCGGTTAATTAATTTGATTAATTAATGTTTTGATGATAACAAACACACTCACACGACTCGTCCTAAAACACCTACTAATCCTAGAACGAGTCGCGCTAACCACAGACTCCAACTAACTGTGGAGTCCATGATCAACTTCTTATTCTTATTTCAACTTTTGACTAACAAGCTCAGAATAGATGCACAATAAAACAATAATCTTAACAGAACAACCATTCTTACATCAATTCTAAACATTCTTTTCTATCAACATGGTGCAGATAAAAGATAAAGTTTCTTACAAACCAACTAAATTTACTCATAAAATGATATGAAACTCTTGAACTACTTTATGTGGTAGAAGTTGAACTACTATCTCCTCAAAACTCAAAAACTCAGGTACAGCCTCGAGAAAAATATAAACAATTGGAATCCAAGCTCTTAAAAACATTATAAAACTGAAGTGACACTATAAACTCCATAAAACCTTAGTGAACTTTCTCATAACAAACTTGTAACAACAATTCTTTTAGAACAACCAATAAGCAACGCTTTCAAGTCCAGGATCCAGACCAGGATTTGGAATCCGGATTTTGCCCTAATCGTCCCGACATTCCCCTGCGTCCCTTGCGACCTAGTTACACCAACTTTTCGATTTGCTCTAAAAGCACATTCTATAAAAAAATATAAAATATTCTTCTTCAAACATAAAACATGTTAGTGAAAACACAACACCGCACGTGTACCCATATTCTATTCTAGTCTAATGGCGTAGAACAATCTCAATACACACAGCAGAATAATTCTCTCAACGCGCAGAGTCAGATGGTCCCAAAGACGTTCTATTTCTAGGTATACTATAGAAACACATTCAGATGATGTACGAGTAATTACCTGGATATAATAATATGGTGGTTTGAAAATTTATTTCTGCATAAAATTCTCAATCTCATGAATAGTTCTAAAATTATTCTTTTCTTATTTCTAAGAATTTTTCTGACTTTCTCAGATCATTTCTATAATCTTACTTTCTAAAAACATTTCTTAAAATTCTAAAATCAATTTCTGAAATCTCTTTCTAAATATAATTTCATAGCTTTCTCAAACATTTCTCTAAATCATAACACATTTCTAAAATTCTCAAAGGAACACAATTACTTTCGTTCTAAATCATACATAATATATAATTTCTTAAAATTTTATAATAATAGATATCTTAAAAACATTTCATAAAATAACCACACAAAAATCCTTCAAATTGGGTCGTTCGCAGCTCTAATTTCTGTCTTACCTGAAATATCAATTCAATCCAAATTAATTCATACTTAATCTATTATAAACTCAACATATTCTTATTTCCAAACATAAACCATATTAGCCTCAAATTATCCCATATTTCAAATTCCATAATTTCATTCTCTCTCTTCATTAAAAATCACTTTCTGATGTGATCATATTTGACCCAACACTCTAAAATGTCACCTACACCAACAATGAAGAACCTACTAGGGTCAAAAGGAAGCATGGAGAGGAAGAGAAGCCAAGTGAGTGGCCCCACTTCAAGGACAAGCCTATCGAGAGGCCACCCGCACGTACACACAGCCAAACGCACGTCACCGCGCGCGTCATCACGCCGTGAGAACCTCACAGCTAGCCCCGTGTCGCGCGCGCCTTAGCCCTGCTAACCTCACAACGCACGGTCC